CTTTCTCCACTGTCATGGAAACTCCTATTGAAAATTTTTAGATTGGTTCAAGATTTACTACATTATACTTTCTTTTAGTTATGTTCGTTTGTAGACATTTATATTTCTTGTTTTGTTTCATGTGTGATTTATTGTTCTACCATTAGAAATTTTTAAATAAGGTTTGACGATAATAGAAAAGAGAAACTAAGCCAAAAGCCAAGCAATACAGAAATCCTTTTTAGATTTCTGCCATCTCTCCAGCTCCTCTTCCCTCTCTCCTTTCTGACTCTCTCTCAAGAAGCTCAAGAGGAAGAACTCCTTAATCTCTAAGAAATAGATCCTACATAAATGATAATCATATTCTTGGATAAACTCTCTTGAATTTTTTTGGGAACATAGGTAAAATTCTTCTAATCTAGAGTGTACTTAGGTATTCCCCAAAATATAATTAATCATTGGAATAACGTTCCTTTAGGAGTGCTCTTTAAGTGCTCAAAATAAAGTTGATCTCTTATTATATATGAACGGTTTAAAATAAAATTCTGGTGTTTAGTTGATGCAAAAAGATTGTTGTAAATATCCTTTGATGTTATTTACTTGACTTTCTCTTTTGTTTTGAGTATGAGAAACACGCAAGAGAGTAGAGAGACAGAAGAGAGATGTGTAATTATTTCTCACAATTTTTTTAGTAGATTTATTGATGTGATATAACTCCTTGTTTTTTTCTCATTTTCAATTTTTTCCAAGTTAAATATTTATGTTCTTTACTTTTTGTTGTTTTACTTCCATCCCCAATAGAGAAAGGCTATATATATATTTGGGCCTTTATTCTTTGGTGGGCTAAACAGTAAAGCCTAGTTGCGTTCAAAAGAACACTGGGCTGAGGGAGAAACAACCCAGAGGCCCATTGCACTCACCTGAAAAAACGTCTGCAGCAACCAAACACCTTAAGCTCTTTTAAGGAAAACAATTTGTTATTTGAATGTAAATAATTAAAAGTTTTTTTTATATAAAAAGTTTATATATGAGGTATAAATTCTATCTTACTTTTTTTTTAAAGCAAGTCATAAAAAGTTGTCAAATTTTCTCATTAAATGTAACTAATCAAGTTAGCTTTAATTTAAGCAAAATTTATAAATAAATAATTAAAATGAGTCACAAGCATTGTTGGGCGCTAGATACCTGCACTCAGTACTGCTGGGTACTGTTAGGTACCAGCGCTTGTGCGGACGGTGCGCACTCCGCACCTAATAATTTTTTCCAGCTCTACAAGTCAAGCTGGGCAGTTTTTTTTCCCCTTCCATTGAAATTAGTTGTATTAGATTTGACTTATCTTTAAAAAAGGTAGAGGTAGACCTAAAAAGACTTGGTTAGAAAATATTAGAAATGTAATTTCTTTATTAGATTTAGATGAGAATTTAACTGTTAATATGACACAATGGAGAAAAATGATTCATCTAGTCGACCCCACGATGGGATAACTACTTATTATTGTTGTTTAATTTGGAGGTTTGTGAACCTTGGTGTTGTTGAAGAGTGACTCTATTATTTCTGAAAACAATGTGAAGTAATGAAGCGAGGCATGAAGAGATTGTGAGAAAGATATTTGTACAATTTCTCCCTATTTTCATAGTGAAAAAAAATATCAAATTTTTTTATATTAAGGTTTTGTTTGAGACAGCTTTCTTACTGCTTCTTAAATAAAAAATTTTAGTACAAAAATTATTTTTTTTGCACTGAAAAACTGCTTTAAGAAGCAGTAAGAAAACCGTCACAAACAAAACATAAATCCCAATGTTTATTTCAATTATTTTCTTTTCTTATTTCTTCATTGCATGGCTTGTCACACGTAAACTCTTTCATTCTTAAATATTTTTTTTTTGGGGGGGTGGGGAAATAAAAATTGCACTTGACTTTCTCCTCTTTCAATTCACATCAGAGATTCTTAACCTATATTCTTTATTAAGAATTAATTGTGTGCAAGACAAAACTTCGCATATTCAATGAGCCTCAACTACTCCAAATTCTGATTCCGAATCTGCCATAGCAATTCTCATATAAACATATATATATATATATATATATATACATATGCAAATATTTATTTTAAGGTGTATGTAAAATATATTTTAATTGTTTAGTTTGTATTTTATATTTATTTTTGAAAAAATTTAAAGGATTTAAAAATTCATTTTAACTTTTTTTTTTAATTATATTGTAATAGGAAATTTTGATTTTCCTTTCAACAAAAAATACCAACCTTCTAATCTATGTGTAAGAGTCTGAAACACTTCAGCTGATTTTGACTTAATTTTCCCTTTGCAATCTTTTCAAATGAGGTCACTATTTTTTTCTTTAAAAATATTGCTATGAGCTTAAAGAAAATCTTAATAAGTCATATTTTGAGAGATTACAAAAAGGGATTTGTTTATATAATTACCACTTAATAATTTACTATTAATCAGCTCTCAATACATTAAAAAAAATTATTAAGATTACTCCTTTCATTAACCCAAAAAAACCCTCTACATTGCAAGAATCAATCAATTTAAGAGTATGCAACTACCTTGATCTTTTTGTGGAGAGCTCTGTCTACCAATCAAGAGATTTTGTGTGTGTGTGTGTGCCCGTGCTAGGGGTGCATTTAGGTCTGTTGCGTACTAGAAAATACGCGGCGGTAGAGTTTGTAAATTCGTGTCCGAGCGTTGTACGTAAATTTAACACACAAACAGTAAAGAGAATGTGAACACCAAGATTTGTACTTGGAAAACCCAAAAAGGGAAAAACCACGGGGCCTTGCCCAGTTGTAAAATTCCACTAGTGTTTTTGTAAATTACAAGAAACTGATTCGTCCCGCAAATTGGGACGATCAGATTACAACTTGAAGCAAATTTACAAAGTTTGCAGAATCCCGTCGTTTCCAAAAAATCCGGCAGAGTTCCGGCGTATTCAGGCGGCCGGAAGATCTCCGGCGGTGGTCGAGGAGGAGAGGAATAGCCTTTTCCCTTTTCCTTCTTCTTCTCTTCTTCTTCTCTCTCTTCACTTGAGTCCCTTGGTGTAGAATGAGGGCTCTATTTATAGTTTTTCTGGAGTGGCATAGCCCGTAAATAGGCGTGAGATCAGGGGCGAATTGGGAGTGTTTTGAATGGACGGCCGATATCGAATCCTTTGATCATGCACCGTTCGTTGGGCATTTGAAGGCCTTAATGATGTCGGAATTCGGATATTTAGGGATCGTTAGATTTGTCTCGTCGAGCCGTTCGATTCGAGTATAAGCTCGTCAAAATCGGAGACCGTTTGGTAACTCAAATTGCGGTTTGAACCTTCCAACAGCGCTTTGAGCCCTTGATTCGGACTCATTTGGGCTCGGATTGGGTTGATCTTTGTGTCGTTGGGTTCGTATTTCCGAGACGCTCAGTTTGACTGTAAGCTCGCTGAATTCGGAGTTCGGTGCTCCAAAAATTAATTTTTGAAGTTTCCAACTAGCTTTTGCCTCGAGATTCGTGCCCGATCAAGATAATTTTGTGATGTCGTATCAAGGTTAATTAAGACAAACTCATACACATATCACATACTCAAGACTTGAATTCAAGGCCTATATGTTGAAAGCCAAAGCACCCAACCAACAGACTAAGAGGTCTTGGGTTAAATCTTGCGTACTTGATGTATGTATAAATTGGTCTTAATTGATTTAAATGTCCCAAAAAAATCAATGTAAGAGCCCAATAAAAAACAAAACTCTTGCAAAAAGCTATAGAAAGGAAATTGTCTTCCTCCCGCAAGCGTTTGCTTCCACAAGACTGACAGCTGAAACTGATAGCTATATTTATTAATATTTATTTCTTAATAACAAAATAGTAAAAAAAAAAAAAAAACATTTTTGCTTGGATGTAACATTTCATTTCTCTTATCTTATTTATTTTTATAAATCATGTGATTAAATTTCTAAGAGTCGCCTTAGAAGGTTTGATCACCTAAAACATCGGTCTTCAAATGACCGGTTAGAAGACTAGATCTATTAGATCTAACTTACGTTAAGATAGATAGTGTTGCACCTAAGAGTGTCTCTAGTCGAACGTCAAACTCGTTTGACATCGTCGGTTTGCTCCATTTGATCGCAAATAAAAAAAATGTTATTCAAGTGAGGGTGAACAATGCAACGTCAAAATTGACGTCCCACTGTTCACAAGCTATTTTTTAATCCAAAAAATAGGTTATTAATTTTAGTTTATTAAGTTTAGAATTTTATTATTAATAATTTATAAATAAATTATTTTTTATTTAAAGTATTTTTCATGTAATTAATTTATTTAGGACAAATTCAAATTATTTTATCAACCAAAAAAATATATTTTTAAGAATTATAATAGGTTTAATTCAAAAAATTGATATATGTAACTAGATGGTTAAAAAATTTAAAATAAAGTATGACAAAAAATATATACAAAATATATATATATATTTTGTATCAGAAAATGCAGTTAGGCTGGAGACTAGTAATTGTATTTTAATTTATTACTGTATTTTAGAGTGAAAATTGAATTTTTCAGTTGGAGATGTCCTAAAAAGCCTCGATTAAAAGTATTATAAATAAATTTTTTTTATTAGGATTAAATAAAAATTACAACCATAATAACTTTCAAGAGATTTTCTGTAAGCATTTTAGTAAACTAATGAAAGAGATTCACTTAAGTAAATACCACTTTCATCACATATATTTAACATAAAAATAAAAATAAATTAAAAATCATTAATATTAAGGGGGAAAAAAAAAGAGAACTTTAACTTAACGCTAACTTAGAATTACGTTCTTAATTTATTCATTGCCATGGTTGGCTTAATCTACACATCCCGAAGCTCCAGCTAATTAATTTCTTGACGACTCATTAAGTCAACTTAAGCAGTCGAGCACTAAACCGCTGAGTTGAATACAGCACAAAACAGCTGAAACAACTAACAATATGCAAGCACGTGTCACCGTGCTGCATGCGTTATAGTAATTCCCCAGACCTTTGAAACTCGTCTCTGCCTGCTAAGTATTCCTTTATAAATACTCTGTCCATCAAAAGGTTTTTGATTTGTGAATCTTTAAAGTTTTGATTTTGCTTTCTGTTACTTCTGCAATTCTGCTCGCAGTTCTTGCATGGTACATATCAGAGCCCAATCTGTGAGTTCTTTTTATGAATTCTCTTCCTTCGTGCAGATTTTAATTATCTTTTGTTTTTGAATGAAATTTTGGGGTTCAGAATCGATGAGAGTTTATGGCTTATCGCTCTGGTTTTTTTTTTTCAGTTTTCATTAAGGTCAAGAGTGGATCCAGCCTTAATTTTGAGGGGGGGGGCAAATTTATAATTAAAAATATAGAGTTTTTTTTCATAGATATCCTTACAACTAAAATTTGTTCTGAAAGCGCTGCCTCTTGACCTATATTTGTTCATCGTTATACACTTGGCAGATATATCGGGGTTCCAATTAGGGGACAGCGCCTCTGGAGGGGTTAGACCTACAGGGGTTTTCGAGGACAGCGCCACAAGAATAAATTTTAGTTGTAAGAATATAGAGAGAGATACACAGTAGCTTGACTGAAGCAAGTAATTGTCACTGAATTGTGATGGTTACTTGTTGATGCAAAGCCCTTTGATAAATAAAGACGACCACAGCACAAATAACATTTTTTTTTGCCCTTCATTACAATAGGCCATGCTCATCTGAAATGTTTGGATAGTTTGATATGAATTGCAGCCAGACGGCCCACTAGATCAGATCTAGTACCAGGTGATATTTTGCTGTTAAAATGTCGACAGAGATCGAAGAAAATTATACAAAAGATGGGACAACAGACATCCATGGAAAGCCAGCTGACAGGAAGAAAACAGGCAACTGGAGAACTTGCCCATATATTCTTGGTATAGATTCTGTTTACTTTCTCTCTTCCTAATTAGTGTAACTCTGACTGCAAACATATTATGTTCTTTGCGATGTAATCATTCTAATGAACTCCTCTATCCACAGCCAACGAATGTTGCGAAAGATTGGCGTATTATGGGATGAGCACCAATCTGGTGAACTACATGAAATCTCGTCTGAATGAAGGGAATGCCGTGGCGTCGAAGAATGTCAATAACTGGTCAGGAACATGCTACATCACGCCTCTGCTTGGAGCTTTTGTGGCTGATGCTTATTGGGGCAGATACAGAACAATTGCAAGTTTCATGATCATATACATCTTTGTAAGAACATTTTTCAGAATTTCTGTCAATCATTTTTCATACCTTGTCAGAAAATTCTTTACTGATCTTGTTCTTCTTTGCAGGGCCTGGTCCTTCTAACCATGACAGCATCTTTAAAAGGGTTGAAACCTGTCTGTGATGGTGGCACTTGCGACCCAAAGGGGGGGCAAACAGCGGCAGTTTTTGTTTCTCTTTATCTCATTGCACTTGGAACTGGAGGAATCAAGCCTTGTGTATCTTCCTTTGGTGCAGATCAGTTTGATGATTCTGATGAATCTGAGAAGAAAAGCAAGACCTCTTTCTTCAACTGGTTCTATTTTTCGATCAATATAGGGGCACTTGTTGCTTCATCAGCCTTGGTGTACATACAGACGCATGTGGGATGGGGTTGGGGCTTTGGAATTCCAGCAGTGGCAATGGCTATTGCAGTTGTTAGCTTCTTTATCGGCACGCCATTGTACAGACATCAGAAACCAGGAGGAAGCCCCCTTACAAGAATCGCGCAGGTTATTGTGGCATCGATTAGGAAATATGATGTGAAAGTTCCAGCTGATAAATCCTTACTGTATGAGAGTTCTGACAAAGAGTCTTTGATAGAAGGTAGCCGCAAGCTTGAGCACACAGAACTACTGAAGTGAGTATGATGAATACTTGGTTTTGTTTTCTTTAAATTAGCACCGAAATCAGTCTTTACAATCGGTGTTCTGTTTGTGTTGATTCTGATTTTGTTGGTCTTCGATTTGTTAAAGTTATAATGAAAGAAGTAACTGGTAACTTAGGCTTCGTTTGGGACAGCTTTCTTCCTGCTTTATAAAGCTGTTTTTTAGTACAAAAATTAAAATTTTTATACTAGAACATCGCCTTAAGAAGCAGTAAGAAAGTCGTTCCAAACAAAATCTTAGTTGAGTTAGCCAAAAACTGAGCATATAAGGGTATGTGTTTGGCATTTACTATGAAGTGAAGAATGTGCAATAATAGGGAGAGTAGATGAAATAAACGAAATTAAAGGAGGATAATGTAAGAAAGCTAGTTCAAAATAATTTGGGATAAGTCTAGTGTTGATTTTAACAATTGTATCATAATGAGACATACTATAAGCTGACAATACTATGATATCAATGGAAGCTGAGAAGATTAAAAAAGAAGGCTCAAAGTGTTATTATCACATTCTAAACTGAAAATTTTATTGGGCAAATGGCAGTTGAGAACAAGATCTGACATGCTGCATCTTTAAAAAGGAAGACTAGTTTTTCCTATATTCTTTCTCTTAAAAATTGAGCTTTTGCAGGCTTTGTAGATAAAAATAATTTATCTAGGTAAGAAGAAATTATTCTGTGCGGAAATTGGGCGACAAGAACCATCAAATATTCAACAAAAGGCAGCAAATATCATAAATGCATATTTGCTGCCCTTTTGCTCATTATTTGTAAAAGAACACCAAAAAGGCAGCAAAAGTACAATCATAATTGCATATTTGTTGCTTTTTTTTTTAATATTTGCAAAAGCAATGCAAAAAGGCAGCAAATTAAGACGATTCTCGTGATCCGGTCTCCACTCAGAATAATTTCTATGTAAGAGCGTGACGTTGATGATAGAAAAAAATTCGTATGTTTATTGCTATTTACCTGGTTCCAATATATAAGACTGTCCATTTTCTCAAGATGTTATTTTTCTTACACTTAAAACTATTCCACTCAGGTTCTTTGATAAAGCAGCTGTGGAAACGGAGAAGGACATAGTAAAAACCTCAGCAAATCCATGGAGGCTCAGCACAGTCACCCAAGTTGAGGAGTTCAAGAGCGTTGTGCGCCTTCTCCCCATATGGGCCACTGGCATCATCTTCTCCACTGTATACGGCCAGATGAGCACAATGTTTGTTCTCCAGGGAAACACTTTAGACCCCCACATGGGACCAAACTTCTCCATCCCATCTGCATCTCTTTCCATCTTCGATACCATCAGTGTCATTTTCTGGGTTCCAATCTACGACCGCATTCTTGTCCCAATCGTCCGCAAGATAACTGGCAACGAGCGTGGCTTCACTCAGCTCACTCGAATGGGCATTGGACTCTTCATCTCCATCTTTGCTATGTTAGCTGCTGGAATTCTGGAGGTTATTAGGCTCCGAACGATTGCAAGGCATAACTTATATGACTCCAAAGGCTTCGTCCCCATCTCCATCTTCTGGCAGATTCCTCAGTACTTCATAATTGGAGCAGCTGAGGTCTTCACCTTCGTTGGGCAATTAGAGTTCTTCTATGATCAGGCTCCAGATGCAATGAGAAGCACATGTTCTGCGCTTTCACTGACCACGAATGCTTTGGGTAATTATCTTAGCTCCTTGTTGGTTACTATTGTAACCTCTATCTCAGCAAGGAATGGGAGGCTTGGCTGGATTCCTGATAATCTGAACCGAGGTCATTTAGATTACTTCTATTGGCTTCTAGCTGTGCTCAGCGTCTTGAACTTTCTGGTGTACCTTGTGATTGCAAAGCTTTACACCTACAAGAAACCAGTACAGAGTCAAGGTTGATGTTGTTGTGGCAAAGATTAATAGAAAATAGATGAGAAATCTTCTACATCTGGAAAGGAAATTTGAATTTTTATAATTCAATTTGGATGTTTGAGTTGCATCAAAATTTGTCTTCAAAGTTTGTGTAATTTGTTGCAAGTTTTATTAGTTTATTAGAGAACTACCAAACGATCTCTTAAGGATAGCTTTCATGTCACAGGGATCTTTCTTCCACCATGAAGTACATTCTACATATTGTATCAACGTCTTCCCCAATTACTTAAAAGGTCACCATTTATAATTGATCATAAATACTAGTGAAATCATTTTAAGTAGGCTGGGACAACCGTGATTTTTTTTCTTTTCGATTTTCTAGGTAAAAAACTCTAATATCTCTTACAACTCCTATTTTTTATGTATATGTGTTAGATCTTCATATAATAATAAGATGTTATTTTCTCTCTATCATAGTGAATGTTCCGGCATATAATAATTTATAAATGATGTACTTTTTCATTATTATTTAGTACCTCTCCACATGCGGTGAACAAAACCCTTATCCAAGAAGGTGTTTGGCCAAAGCAAAAAGAGAGGGAGTGGATAGGCTTATTATCTCTCCTTCCCTATATGATTTTCTTCTAATTATCTATGTCACATAGGTTTCTTTCATAATTTTCATCTTATTTAACATTTAAATAATAATTGAGTAATGCTAATGATGATAATATTTCATTCAAATAACCCATTGAGCTATAAATTAAAAGCCTTTAGGATAATTGGATTCAAAGTTGGGAAATAAAATTTAAAATCATGTTGCCCCCCCTCATTCCTACTTAATCCTCCCTTTTCTCTCCACACAAGCATTCATATTGATGTATCACAACCACATGCTTATAATTTTTCTTCTAAAAAAACAAGGAAAAGGGAAGAAAAAAAGTACTTTTTTCAAAACTCTTTTATGTGTATGTTGTCAATCAATGACACCTCTTTTCTTAGTTTTTTTGCTCTTCTTATAGGCTAGGAATAGCCCTCCCATATATCATTTCATTATTCAATGAATTATCTTGTGAACAATTGTGAGGAAAATCTTAATAGCCGACCTCTTTTAAATTTTGTTGAAGTCCTTGGTTACCTTGATAATTAGAATTCCTCTCTCAAACTCTTTGGTTTTTCTTCTTCAAGGCCTCTACCACTGTCCCAACATATGCACAACCCTCAGCTATATAACTCAACCTCCATTTTTGCCAAACTTGTAACACATACTGAATTCGTATGTGGTTGCACCTGTTCCGACCTGGTTTGATAAGTAGAATTTTTGCATTAGTGTCTTCTGCATGTGTCTGCAAGTGTTTTTGGGTGCTCAAGTGTGTTTGAATATGTTCTAAAATGGGCCTTAGAGGTCTATATGCATGTGTATGAAAATTTGGAATTTTCTATTTGGAGTGTTGCGGTGTTGGGCTGACGATGTTGTAGCGTTGAGCTCTCCAGCCAAATTTTGAAAATGAACTAATGATGTGGCAATATGGTTGGGTGCTTCAGTGTTGCAGGGTTGAGCACTACAGTACTAGGTCAATTTTTTATAAAATATCCAAAGCTATTTTTTAATCTCATTTTACTTTAAAACTCTTTTAATTCATTTAGATGAGCGGGTTAGAGAGAGAAAGTCTGGTTTTTGGCGAATATAGTCCATTTTTTGTTATAGACTCAATACATGAACTCGTCGAGATCAAGGTATGTTACATTTAACTTATCTTAGTTTTCAAAAATATATGAAAATTTTCAGATTTTTTTGATTTAAATTATAATTTTATAGCGCAAAAGTGGGAATAACTTGTACCCGAAAATTTTTTACCACATAACTTATTGTATATTATAGATGCAAAAGTTCTGGACATTTATATATTTTTCTGAGAAATTTGCACCTGGTAAATTAAAAAATGTGAGATTTTTGACAAATTAGAAAATAATTTTGATTCAAAAAAATAAGACTATAATATGATAAAAGCTTCAAAATAATGTTATGAGCAAACTCTGGTTCTGGTAATATTAAAAAATTATGAAATTTCTGCTAAATAGGTAGTTGTGTTACCTAATGTTGTGGCATTTTGTGAAATTTACCATCTATTTATTTATATTTATGTTACTGAGATTTTATATTATAAATGATTATCTATTTGAATAAGAAGAATTGAAATAATTTGATCGGGATTATTTAAACTTGAGAATTTAGGACAAATATATAATAAATTCAAATTTTTAATCAAATCCTAATAAATTTAAAGAAAAATGGTCTAATTCTAGCTAAAGAGGAAGAGAAGAGGACGGAGTAAGAAAAAAAGCACAAACTAAACACCAAATTAGGAATACATATAGAAGAAAATAATATAGCATTCAAAGATGAAGAGAGAAACATGTCCCCTAGTCGTAAGAAATATGTGGGTCTCCGAAAGGACAATGCAAGCAGGGGTCCAACTACAAAATGTACGATCACACTATCCTGTAAGATAAAACGGTCGTAGGCCTTTACACTCTACGCAGATAAGCCAATGGGAGAGCAAATGAAATCATATATGCTATTATCCATAGAGAATAATAGATTTCACATAGACATCTCGATGGATAATAATATCTATAACTATATAAGCATAAGATTTTTCCATTCGATACATCTGCAATGTGCATCAAACTGTCTAATTCGAGAACGAATTAACCCGTTTGATAAGTCTTGATGAGTTGAACGCACTCGGCAGTCCGTTTTGCATAACGAGATCTCAATCAAAAGATAATAAGCACGGAACAGAGATGTGCGCGGACGGTTCAATTGCACATAAAATACTAGTCAAGTCAATGTCAACTCGATCACATATATTTTCAAATAGAACGATAAACATAGATCGACTATATGCGACCAAAAAGAATAAGTCACAAAGTCGACAACGAATTGAGGTAAAATATGTGATGTGATCCTTCATCAACACATCGGCGTAACATGAAAGCAAATAAATTGACTTACGAGATGTGCAATACAACTATGTGAGTGATCGACGCCAAAAAGAAAATCAACACTAACCTAATCCCCTTTATCAGCCATCACTCCCTCACCAAAAGCTATAATCAAACTTCCGGAGCATCCTCACCTTCAAGATCATTATCCCCAGCTTCGAGAAGTATTATAGTTAAGGGTTCAAAGATAGTTGAAAAAGCCATCAATGAGCATGAAGGCATAACAAGGAGGACGATTAATTTATACAACAAACCAGTAACATTTAAATTGATTTGCAAAAAAGAAAATCAAATATTTCCTAATAAATTCTTTAAAAATTATTTCTATCAATTACTCAATTAGAATTAATTTAATTATACATTTATTATAAGAGTGTAGACTTGATAAAATCCCAACAATAATTTTTGAGCGTTTTAATATGAAAAATAATAATTTTTTTATTATTATTTGATATATGAGAAAGAAGAAAATTTTATTACCAACAAGATAAGTCCAATATATTATTGTTTGGTATGAAAATTTTTGTATCTATATATTCTATCAAAATAATAATTAATTTAAATTTTTAAAATTATTTTGAAATATATATAATATTAATTATTCATATATTATATTCATCTTAGTATAAATTCAAGACCTATGATATATAATAATCTAAATTGGCAATCAAATCATACCATCATTTCTCATAATTTTAATGTAAGAAAAATAATATTAGTCGGAAGTTAGAACGGAAAACAAGCTCATGCATGGGCTCTGAGCCCATTAAGGTTAGCACTATTGTCAGCTAAGATCTTTAAGTGGGCTAGTTTGGTGGGCTAATGGGCTCCTCGGCTCTTCTCTAGAGGAATAGAAATATTATATTAGATAAAAATATTATAATTTAAAGAATACAGCAAATGGAACATTTAATGCATAAGTTCGTGTTTATTAATGTGCTAAAAAATCTTTGCAACTTCCATAATCCAAACTGATATTATGATTTCATAAACAATTTAGTGATTATTGACTATATTTTTAATAAAATTACTCTCTAATTTTTCTTAATAAAATAATTTTTTAGCCTCCAATTTTTTTAATCTTTATTTTAAATATGTAGAGTTCATAATTTTTTATGGTATATTAAAAGGATTTAAATAGTAAAATACATTGAGCCAAAAAAACAAAAAATTTCAAGCTTCATTTAGAATAGTTTTTTTACTATTTTTGTGGCAGAAAAATAAGTTAGTAAAGAGATAATTTGACTTTGAAATATGTTTTTTACTTCTTTTTTATTATATATATATATATATATATATATATATATGATTGGATTAATTATAATTTAATATTTAACTGTTTTTATCTATAGATTGATCATCTAAATCTAAAAAAACATAATAAAAATCTATATTTTTTTGCTTTCATTAAAATTTCATTAGTATGTCTCATGATCATTAAAATACACATGCTCAATAGTTTATTGATTCAAGTTAAATATTAATTTTGTAGATATAGCATAATTTTTTTTTTTTTTGCATTTTTTAAATATGAGAAAAAAATCAGTAATAATATAGAGCGTGTACAAATATTATTTTTGTTATTATTATTATTATTATTATTACAACAGGATATTTGTTGATATATGAACTTTGAATAAATTTAATTTGTTTTACTTCTTGAATCTAAGAATTTGTTATTAAAAAAAAAGCTCTTAATTATTAGGACTAAACATAAAAGATCTAATTGTTTATATTATAATATATTATGATACAAATATATTTGAAAGAAGAAAAAAAGAAACTACTGTGGGTTCGTATATATGCAATCACTTCGAACTTTATACGAGCACTCACATACAAATGGACCCGGCCCTCAGTTGGAAAACCCAAAGCTTACCTTGGAACAATGCCATCCTTACTCTCTCTGACCTCTAAGGCTCCATGACAAAGATCTCTAAGAATATTGTAAATCCCTAAGAAGGATTTGCTTTGAAATTGCCTCTCTATCCCCCTCTTTTTCTCCTTCTTTTTCACGTCAAGCCAAACAAATGCACTATCCCTCTCTCATTGGGATTCTCCAACAAGAAGGATTTGGCATTTTGCTTTGTATCAATGAAAGTGGCATTCTTTGCATGGTTTTTTATTAGCGTGGATGTACCTCAAAATATTTATTTCTTACTATTTTTTAAAAATAGTTTTTTAATACAATTTTTTTTTTAATTACAAATTTTTGTAATAAAAAGTTGCTTTGAAAAGCAGAAAAATAGCTGTCCAAAACGAAGTATGGAGAAATTATTCTGTGCGGAGACCGACACAAAGCGTCATCC